AGTATTGTCCCCTTAGTGTGATTGCTGGGTCCCACATCAAACTGCAGATCACATTGTGACCGGCTGTAAGTTGAGGCATATACTGGACCAATATCTGATTTTTTTTAATATAAACAATGCTGTGCTTCCATGGTTAGATGGCCTAGATATTGATATTTGAACATAGATCTTTTTTTAACATTTATATTTTACCATGTTTTACTAATCTAGCTGAGAGGTTAATGTATGATGCAAGTCCATGTATGATATGCTGTATTACATAACCCAAGCTCTTGAAGTCCACAATCTTTCTTATGAATGTAAAGGAGTCCTGAGATCAAGATGTTTGAGAACCATTAGTTAGTGCAAGGCTGAAGTAATGAAACAATGGAATGAAGGAACAAATACTTCTACTGCCTTTCAAATAAAATATCAAACAATCCAGATGTTATTGTGTGTTGCATACAAAAGGTGTAATGTAAATTAATCCCCCCCCTTAACAAATTATTATATAAATTACATTAAATGTTCAAATTGGCTGTCATTTTTTTCTAAACATGCCCTAACTTGTTTGACCCATGATTTTTGAACAATCCTATGTACAGTAAAATATATTAATGAAAGACACTGTAATTAGCCTATAGGGCTTGACTTTTACTATATAAAGGAAGAAAATGAGAGACATCTTAAATAACCTAGTTTGGATAATGAAAAGTCTGCAAGAAAACAACCAAAGAGAGCACCAAGGACCCTTCATTCCTTTTTTGCCACCACTAGTATTAAAAAAAAAAACTTATAATTGAAAAGCTTTTGCCTTCTGCAAATGTAATTGATTGGTGCAATATCCTTGTTGTGATTCAGGCAGCTTTGGAAAGATCTTGATAAAGATAATCAAGCAATAAATTTGCAAACACCTAGAACAACAAAGTTAAAACCAGTAGCAACATGGGTTCATCAAAAACAGATAATGCCAAACAAATCTTATTTCATTCTTCGATAAAATTATTACATTAGTGGATCAATGAAATGCAGTGGACATAGTACTTACTAAATTTCAGTAAAGCATCTGATAAAGTGGACCACAACCTACTTCTTGGCAAACTAACAAAATGTGGGCTACCACTAGATGGATTTGAAACTAGTTGACAAATTGTACTCAACATGTAGTCCTCAATTAAACTACATCTAAATGGAGGAAAAAAGCAATGGGGTACCCCAAGGTTCCGTTTTGGGCCCAATACTCTTCAGTATCTTTTTTATTTATTTATTTATTTATCAAGCAATTATAAGATAACAAGTATAAGTATAAACATAGCTATGAATATATGAAATCGATACATATAAGAAAAATAAAAAGAAACAATAGGACAGGGACGGTAGACATGCTGGTGTGCTAATGCACGCCCTCTACAGACCTCGTAGGAAAGAGGTAAAGTCAATAGTAGACAGTCTAAGGTTAAAGTTTTTGGGGTTTGAGGAAGACACCAAAGAGTCAGGTAGAGTATTTCAGACATTGACCACTCTGTTGCTGAAGTTGTATTTCCTGCAATCAAGTTTGGTGCAGTTTACCTTGAGTTTGTACCTATTGTGTGCTCTTGTATTGTTATGGTTGAAGCTGAAGTATTCATTGACAGGTAGGACACTGCAATGTATGATTTTATATCCCATACTTAGATCATCTTCATAAATGATCTAGAAGAGGGAATAGAAGGGGACAAATTTGCAGATGACACTAACCTGACAGGAATAGCCAACATGTCAGAAGATAAAGTCAGAAGATCTTGAGAGACTTGAACACTGGGCCCTATCTAACAAAATGAAATTTAATGTAAATAAAGCTAAAGTTTTACCCTTAGACAAGAAAAATCAAGTGTATAGTAGAGTAGGTAAAACTTGGCTTAATGCCAGTAATTCTGAGAGGGATCTTGGAGTCCTAATGGATAGTCACTTAAATATGAGCCAACAGTGTGGGTAGCAACCAAAAAAGTCAATGCAATTTTAGGCTGCATTGGATTCTCTCCAAGAGGGATAAAATCAAGATCACGTGACATTCTAGTACTTTACAAAACCATAATAAGACCTTACTTGGAACACTGCATTCAATTCTGGTCACGATGATTTAAAAAAAAAAAAGATTTTGAGACTCTGGAGAGTGCAGAGAATAGCAACAAAAATGATAAGGGGGCTGGAAGCCAAACTTACAAAGAATGGTTGTAGAAATTGGGTAGTCTAATTAAAAGAACTAGGGAAGACATAATAACAGTGTTCCAATATTTGAGGGGCTCCTACAAAGATGTGGGGGGTCAAACTATTTTCCAAGGTCACTTGGAAGCAGGATGAGAAACAATGGATGGAAATTACCAAGGAGAGAAGCAACCTAGAACTAATGAGAAATTTCCTAACAATGAAAGCAATCAATTAATGGAATAGCTTCAGAAGTTATGGGTACATCACTAGAGGCTTTCAAAGAGAGACTAGACAACCATTTATCTGAAATTATATAGGTTCTCCTGCTTGAGCAGGGGGTTGGACTAGAAGACCTCCAAAGTCCCTTTGAACTCTAATATTCTATTTTCTATGTTTTATGCGCTAGAAGAGTTGTGGGTACAATTTGCAGAGATCATTACCAATCATCAATCAATAACCTTAATCTTAATTCTAACATTTTTCTAAGAAAAATGTGAGATAGCCAAAATAAGTGAATGCTATCCACAGATACATGAAATTCATCAGAGAGACCTTCATTACAGTATCTTGAAAAAAATCTTAGAAGTTATGACAGCTTGGGGCATAGGAAGCAGATGAATGATGATAGACTTGAGTCTTGCAAACAGAATTGCTTCATTCAAAACATTCTCAAAGATCCATCTCATCCTGAGCACCCTTTTGTTTTTTGAACTATTACCATCTGGCAGACGGTACAAGATAATAAAAACAAGGACAAATAGGCTGAAAAACAGCTTCTATCCCAGGGCAGTAACTCTATTGAATTCTACTGTATAGAGCAGGGGTGTCAAACTCAAATTCATCGGGGGCCGCATCAGCAGTTTGGTCCCCATCAAAGGGCCGGTTGTATCTGTAGGTCTATGTGTCCACTCTTTATTATCATAAATTAATGTCACTGCATTCAATTATTACTGTTTTTTGTAATAATGTAAGTAATAACTAGCTCTGAAAGCAGAAACATAGTCAGAATAATGACAAGTAGATATTCAAATGTACAATTATTGTACAATGTATTGAAAAATGTTTTTTGGTAACAAACATTAATTTTTTTTTAAACATACAAATATTGCCAAACACTGTTTATTAAACATATGGAAAACACAAGGCATTACCTTTTTTTTAACTTTTATAGTGCCCAGCCATGTGCCCCCTTTTAAAGTGCCCAGCCATGTGCCCCCTTTTAAAGTGCCCAGCCATCTGCCCCCTTTTATAGTGCCCAGCCATCTGCCCCCTTTTATAGTGCCCAGCCATCTGCCCCCTCCATTTACTTTACTTACCTTTTACTTCTTTCTTTCTTTTACTTCTTTCTTCTTGCTCCTCTCCGCGGCGTCCGCGCGCTCCTCTGATCCCTGGAGATGTCGGGCGGACGTCACGTGATGACGTCACGTCCGACACCCAGGGAGCAGTGCGGGGCAGGAAGAAGTCGGGCCAGGTCCTGGAAGGTAAGTAAATTTATTTATTTTTTTAACTTGAGCCATTTTTAAAATGAATTTACTCCGTGCAGGCACGGAGGAAATTCATTGAAAAAAAAAAAGGGGGAGGCTGCAAGGCTGGCGGCGGCACCGCGGGCCATCAGACGAGGTCTGGCGGGCCGGATTTGGCCCGCGGGCCTTGTGTTTGACACCCCTGGTATAGAGCAATATTAATGCAATATCACGGGTTTTCAATTCAATGTATAGAATGTGAAGGATGTGTGTTTGTGTTTATTTTCAGTCATAACATACACTGAAGATGGTATTTAATTTTGTTGTATGATGTGCAATGACAATAAACATTCCTGCTGCAGTTCTATAATTCGCTGATGTTTTTATCACCAGTTACCAATGTGGAGAAGAGTGGTTTTCTTTATAGGATACTTTGTAATAGGAGCACATTGACAGATCACAACGGCAAACTCTTGATTATTTTCTATCAAGTCTGCATGACTTTTAGCAACCTCACAGATAGACAGCCTGAATCTGCCCCTAATTTGCCCCTTCAGACCTTCTAACAGCACACCTATCATTGCTGTAATTGACTTTCACTTCTGGTTGTCTTATTCTTTTCTTTCCTTTGTTCCTAGCATAATGGACTTCTCAAGAAAGTAAAGTCTTCATGTAATGTGTCCAAAATATAATCTGTGCCTGATCATCAGGTGAGAACTCTGAATCGATTGGTTACATGATCTATTTGTTTACTTACCCTTGGTATTTTTAGTTTTTTTCCAATATTAAATTCCCAAAATGTCAATATTCTTATTTTGTTTCTTTTAGCTTTCTCTTTCAGGGTCTATGTATGACACAGAAAATCATTGCGTGAATGTTTCTAACATAGATTTTATAGACACGTCATGCCATCTTAATATTCTCCATTAAATGTGTACTATCAGTTTTCACTTCCGTGTATGAAGGAGGAGGAAGAAGACCAAAATCTACAAAAAAGAAAACCAGGAGACAGGCTAGCATTTCTCTATATCCCGAATGACTTAAAAGAAATCACGAGCACTGTCAGCCACCGGTCTGAAAAGCGGCGGGATTGGAAGGACTGGAGGGAGGACCACGCCAAGGCGGTTCTACGCCAGTGATGTAAGTACTCTTAGAAGCGAATGGTCGCCCGGCTTCCTGGGGAAGATTTGGCGATTGGTCTCTTAAAGGCCTTTCTTCTTCAGCTTCCCCCGCGCGGGAGCAGCCGTAAGAGGCGGGATTTCAGGCTAAATGGGAGGGTGTGATTACGCGGCGGGCGAGGCGGGGCCGTAACCGGTTGCCTTCTTCCCCTCTCCGTAGCGTTCACTTTCTTCATAGTCTCAGGCTGAACTGCGGAGAAGGCTGCAGGTGGTCGCCCGGGTTCTCTTTCTCCTTATCTTCCCCCCCCCCCGACAGGTGGGTTTCTGCTCTGCGCCGCCCCCACTCGCCTTTCAAAGCGCTTTGATTATGGCGGACCTCTGTTTCTGCTGTCAGAAATGACTCTTGAGTGGAGAGAGAGGAGCGCCGCGGCTTCTTCAGACAATCGTTTTTATTTTTATTTATTTATTTATTTCAGCCTCCCGGTTTGTCTTCTACCTCGCTTAACTGTCATGGAGTTTCTTTTCCGCTGTCTGGTTTAACTTCGGTCCGGAATGCAGGACCGCTTCTTGCGTTACTAATTCGCCTCCCCCGACTGAGCGCCCCGGGAGGAGTTTAAAATACGAGGGGAAGTGAACAGCGTCCGAGAATCGGCCCGCTTTCTGCTTGTTTCGAGGGGTTTTGCTTTTTTCTTCTTCTCGGTCCTCTTTTCCCAAACTCCCAGACGTTGCAATTGCTGCAATCCGATGCCGTAGCCCGCCTTCCGCCCCCGCAAGTTTTCTGCATTGAATTGTGTCTGATCTTCGTTAGCAAGTTCCTCCCCGCGAAACAAAAAAACAAAAAACTGTTCGTGACATTGTATGGGAGTTCTAAAAGTCGTATTTCATTCGTAACACTTTCATTTTCCCGTTGCTTCTCCTTCCGTCTTATACAGCGAAATCATTTTATATGTGCGCAGTGGCCTTTTTGGTGGTCGCACTACCGACTAGAAGAACGTCTCTCGGAATGTTTTCTGTCTCATTTTGGCGGAGCCAGCGAAGAACCGAGCTCCCTCAACGTTGCTGTGTGTTTTCTGCTACAAATGATGGATTGGCTAAAGTGTTGGCATTTAAATTCAGATTCTCACCTAGTCTTAGTCTGGGCTCAGGCTCTTGAATCTTGCAATCTCTGAGCCTCAATTTAACGACCACAATTGAGCCCAAAGTTTATGTTGCTAAGTGAAAAATTTGCTACGGGAGTTTTGCCCCATTTTACAACTTTTCTTGCCACATTTGTTAATCACTGCAGTTGTTAAATTAGTAACACGGTTGTTAAGTGAATTTGGTTTAAGTGAATCCCCATTGACTTTGCTTGTCAGAAGGTGCTCACATATGACTCCAGGACATTGCAACCGTCATAAATGTGAATCAGTTGTTAAGTGTCTGAATGTAAATCACATGACCATGAGAATGCTGCAGTGGTCGTAAGTGTGAAAAATGGTCATAAGTCACTTTTTTCAGTGCAGTTGTAACTTGGAATGGTCACTAAACAAACTGTTGTAAATCGAGAACTACTTGTATGTGTTAAAAGAATACAGTATTGTATAGGGAGTGGAGAGTATGAAGAGATTGGACGATCATTTGTCTGAAATGGTGTTGGGTTCCTGCTTGATCAGGGAGTTCGACTAGATCTCCTATGTCTCTTCCAACTCTTTTATTCTGTTGTGTTCTAATTGAATTATAAATAAAGTCAGGCTACGAAATCAACAGCTATAGCATAAAAGGAACCATATCTAAAAAACTACAAGGACAATACTCATAGGGCTAAAGTTGTAAATTTGCTATAAAAGTAGTCTTTGTACTGTGTCATTTAGAACAGTAGTCGCCAACCGGTGGGCCGCGAGAAAATTTTGGTAGGCTGCAGAGAAATGTCACCCCCAGAGCACCCCCAAAAGCAATTAATCCAGGCTGCGCAGGAACACAAGGCTGCGCTGCCCACATGGCCTGCGGGAACCCTCCCTGCCCACTCCAAACTTGCCTGATAAATTGCTATTTTTTTGACTATCAGCTGTGACATTTAGATTAGCTAGGAAGCAGGAAATGGTTGGATTTCTTGCTTTCTAGCTAGTCTTTAGATCTTCGGCTCTGCTTTTAAGCACAGCCGAACCTCCCTTAGGACTGAAGTTTCTATTATTCAGTGCAGACTCATGGCAAGCAAATTTTATGTGACAGACTGAGCTAGCCGATGGCAGATAGATCACTGAATGATTCTGTGAGCAACTCAATCTGCTTTGCCTGATTTTGGGTAAAAGTTGTTCTTTTAAAAAAAATAAATCAATATTTATATAAATATTTATAATATTTATATACAAGCCATGCCCAGCCAGTCGCATGACCACCAAGCCACACACACAAATTAGACCACGCACACAGAACCGGTTAGTGGTCCCTGGGATTTAAAATTATGAGTTTGGTGGTCTCTGAGGTCTAAAAGGTTGGTGACTCCTGATCTAGAAGACTAAAATAACAAGTTGTGGTAACAGAACCTGTAAGTGTCTTTCTGCCCCACTGTGTATTAGGCTAACTTTTATCGGACATTTGTGTGCATACATATGTGCATGCATGCACGCACACAGACAAACACACACTTCTATTCAGTGGAAGATTATTCCTGTCTTGAAACTTCAGAGGCACCATATTTATTTACTGAATTTATAGTGTATTCCCAGATTCCTCTAATATATCTTGACTAGTTTGTTAAATCTTTTTATCTTCCTCCATGATCTGCCTTGATCCAATAATTTCTTATAAGCTTTCAGATAATAAACATATTTATCCCCAGGTCCAGAGATTTAATATTTATAAAGACATTTACACCTCAGACTCTAGTTTTATTCACAAGAGTTCTATCTGAGTAATGTACCACAGGAAAAGCCATTAATTAAAATCTCTTGAAAGTAATTGTTACAAAAATTCTGAAATATAGAAAAGCCTATCAAGAGAGTGTCTTCAGTTTATGTACAAATGAATTGAAAAGAAGACAAATGGATTTCTTAGGTCAGATTTCCACATTTCTGCTAATGGTGACAAATACTTTATTTATTATTGGGCAAAAAAAAAATCTTCACAAGCTAGAGTTGAAAAATGGGTAAGGATATTCCTTACCTGCTGAGAACATTTGTGAATGAAGAAGATAATTTATGTTCATTTCATTCTTGTAGGTTCATGTTTAAAGTGGAAAGCTGAAACTGGCTGGCCAGTAGAAGGCAGCCATAACAGAATCTTGATCTCTCTTTCCAGCTTCAGAATTGGAACAAAAAATGATATTTTAATTGATATCACATGGGCATTCAGGCCTAGTTCACAGAGCATGGCAAACTATAATATTCATTTGATTTGGGCTCAGTGTGTTGTTGAAATTCAACCAGTTGTGGCTTATTCAGTAAACAATGGTTTAGTACAATATAAGTGCAGTCATAATGTTAATTCAATGGCAATGACTATGATTCTATATACATATATCTGAAATTAAGATTCCCTGAATATAATTTGACTTATTTTTGAGTAAATGCAAGTAGCTCTCAACTTACAAGAGTTCATTTAGTCACAATGGCATTGAAAAAGTGACTTAGGATCGCTTTTCACACTTATGGTCATTGCAGCATCTCCATAGTCATATGATCATAATTCAGACGCTTGGCAACTGACTCATATTTATGACGGTTGCACTGTCCCAGAGACATGTGGTCCCCTTTTGTGACCTGACGAGCAAAATCAATGGGGAAGCCAAATTCACTTAACAACCATGTTACTAATTTAACAACTGCAGCAATTCATTTGCTTAACAAATGTAAGAAGTTGTAAAATAGGTCAAAACTCACTTAGCAATTTTCTGTCTTAGTAACATAAATTTTGGGTTCAATTGTGGTCATAAGTTGAGGATTGCCTGTATATAATTTACTGACAGAGTTTACTGGATAAGCATTTACTTTGTGCTATAGAGATGAAGAAAAATCTTAGTTCTTAGCTATTATCCAAAGCGAACTGATGTCTGCAGCCTGAATGACAACAAGAAAAAATGGCTTTTAATGATTACAGAGTTGATTATAGCCTCCAGCAGTTGGTGATCTTGACTCGACAATTGCTTTCATTACTTGGACACCTTGTTTCTCTTACCATATTTCCAAGACCAGGTACTCTTATCCCATCCCACCTTACCTTCTCATAGGTGAAGGGAACAAAGGCAGGTGTATAGGATAGGAAATGAAAAAAAAAGCATAAAACGATCAGCCCAGATAACTGGAAAACAACATTAGGGTTGTGTACAAGGAGGAGTGTGTATTAACAGAAACTAGAGCCAAATAATCCTGAATCTTTTTATTGTAAAACAAAGTGCACCTCATCTTTTATAGGTGACAAAAATATCTTCCTCTTATATAGGATTTCCGTTTCGGATTCTTAAATTCAACTTCTTGCAACTACATAAATGCAGGGATGCAGACAGTAATGACTATTTCATGTTAATGTCCATATGTTATCACTGCTTTGTGAATAGCATTGGTTGCTGGCTGACTTCCGGGTAGAATTCAAGATGCTGGTTGTTACCTATAAAGCCCTTCCTGGAGAGATCTGATTATTTGAGGGAGTATCTGTCTCTAATAGTTTCCACTCATCCAGTAAAATCAAGCAAAGTGGATATGATCTGGGTTCCTTATATTAAATATTGTCATTAATGAACAACATCCATTGTCCAAGGGATCATATCTTCTCTGATATGGTGTCTGGCCTGTGAAAAGCATACTTTTCTTTCCAAAATAACTATAGTTCTCTCCCTTCATATAATTCATAAACCTCTAAGAACTCATGGAATATTCTCCTTCCAGCAATTTGGCAAGACCATCACCCTTTTTAGCCTTTGGGAAGATAGACTAAAGTAGAAGAAAATAGAAGGAAGGTAATTGGGGCTTGAGGCAAGGCATCCTAACAGGATGATTAAGGCTTGGGGTTTTTGTTTGTTTGTTCATTTGTTTAATAGTTACTGGTATTAAGGTTTTTCTGAGCCACCCAGAGTTGTTTAAGATGAGCAGCTAAACAAAGCTTTAAATAAACAATGAATGGCTGGCTTTGTTCCTATGTCTGAGGTTAGGATGTCTGTGGAGTTTCTGGCAATTTCTTGGCTGCTATTAGTATAGTTCTACCTGCCCATTCAGTTTTCTTTTTTATATTTTATATGATTTTATATATGTTAAATAAAACAGAGGGATTTCCTACTCCCCAATTGGACTTGCAATTCAGTACATATCTGTGAGCTGATGTTAAGAGATTCAAAATATTTTAAAC